AATACACAATGATCCGGCCGGGCATCGGGTACTGCCGCTTCTTCTCCTCCACCAACCGTACCAACACCTCGTCTTCGTCTTCCTCCTTCTGATCGTACCGCTGTATCTGGTACCTGACGTTCTTCCGGGTCGTCGGACCTCGGAACCACTGGCATTCTTCCTTGGCTGGCAACCCCATCAATGCAATAAACTCGCCCTCGTCTCTCGGCCGCATGGTTGCTGTCAAGTACACCAACTGTGTCTCTGCCTTGACCAAATCCCGCAACGCCAACATCCGCGTCCTCCATCCGCCCGTCGAATCCAACACAACGTGACATTCATCGACAACGATTCGATCCAATCGCCCCATGGCTCGTTGCCGGTTGATGAAGCCACCAAAACTCTCGCTGACCGCCGACTCGGGCGTGACCAACACCACGGACGCCCACTCCTGCGGCTTGCGACTGTCCCACTCCACGCAATCGATCCCAGCCTGGACACACCGGTCCTTCAAGTTGCCGCGCAACGAAACTAACGGCACGACTACGATGGTGACGCCCGTGGAGCACGACGCTGGCAACATGAACGCCATGCTCTTGCCTGCTCCTGTACCCATGACCACGACAACTGGGCTCTTTTGGTGCATGATGGCCTCTATCGCCGGCCGCTGTACGCTCCTGAACCTGGCGCCCGCCCCCACCAAGCTCTCCAGCTGATGCTGCGTGTCTACCGCTCGCATCTTCCTCCAACGCCGGAACTCTTCCTCAATCGCCTGCTTCCTGGCCTCCGCCGCTCGCGTCCCTCTCTTGGGATGCATTTCCAACGCTGACTTGAACAACAAAAACCGATGCCACTCCATGCTCACTCGCCGCAATGCCACTCGCTGGGCTTCGGTGCTGAACGGCGACTCGGTAATTGCTCTACCGTAAACTGTGCCACCAATCTTGGAACTGTGCCCTGTCTGAATGTCGAATGCGTCGTCCTCGCCATCCTCGTCTTCGTCGCCCTCTACGACTGCCTTGATGACCGCCTTTTCGTTGATGTATCTCCGATATATCGCCTTGCTGCTGTGTCTCCACGCCATGATGTTGAGTTTCACGCCTAACCACCGTATCGACACGCGCTGGATCGCCCGCCGAACCCGGTTGGTATCCCATTTTTCCGGTCCACACAACGACGGTTCTTCCTCTTTCATTCCCCTGCCCTGTTCTTTTTCCCTTTCCTCTTCCCTCTCGTCTTCGTCCACGTCCCGTCGCGGAATCTCACCCTCACTCTCACTCTCACTCGCATTGCTTTCCCGCGCCCTTTTTCTACGTTGCGGCCGTGTCCACGGCTCCTCCTCCCTTGGTTTCCATATGAATGGGCTGGCTTCTCTGGCTGCCCCTTTCCTGACAGCACCCTCCAACTTCCTCCAAAACGGTATGACCATCCATAAATAATAAAACAACAATTCACCCACCTCACGCGGTAAATACCGGTGGATGATCTTGGCCTTTGCGCTGGCCCCGATGCCTTTGTGGTACATGGTCACGTACACCATCAACCCGTCCTCGACGAACACGCCACGGCTCTCGCCATTGGGACTGTTCATGTACTGGACCGTCACCACTTCCGTTCCACGTGCTGGTTGTCCACCCGTCATGTGTACCAACACTAACAAATGCTCTCGGAACGCTTGCATGGCCTTCTCGTAGTCTCTCACCGCCCGAGCTCTCCACACTACCCCGCGTCCTTCGGGAACGGATGGGTCGGTGGCTTGGACGTCTACAAATGCTTCTTGTAACCTCTTCTCGTGAATCACGCGATGCGCCAACCAACCCTTCCCGTCTACGCCTCCAAACGTGTTGCGCTTGTCCTGAAGAAAGCTCCACCCAACCTTCATCTCGGCTGGGTCGTCGACGATACTGTCCCAATGGATTGCTGGCAACGGCGTGGCCCCTTCCGCTAACCGACCATCCTCGTCGATGTCTAGTAACAACAACTGCTTTTGCAATTCGAACCGT